GCTAGTGTTCCATGTGTAACCAGGAATGGAATGTATTTTTATTTGGTAAAAAAACAACAAAGCACAATTTGCTCTCACCTTGAGCTGAAGAAGTTTTTTGATGACCACCACACTCTCTGCTACCACTACCTCTGTTGACAGACAAGTTTGAAGCTAGAATTGACAATCACTTTAAAAAAATCACAGTCACTTTACTTAGAGAACTTTGGCACTGATCCTTTTATAATAATGCTCTGAAGCAGAATTACAGGCCCAGGATGTTTTACCATACATGTGCACAAAAAAGGGTATTATGTCTACTTAAAGGGGAAGTATCACAGGGATTTTGACCTTTTTCAGTCAAAACTGTGCTATAATACCTTTTTTATATACAAAATAATTCTAGAACACCAAGAGTAATACATCAACCGAATTCTTGAAAGAGAAACAAATTATGATCTGTTCTAGTGCATTTTGGAAACGAAAATGCTTCAAGTTGCAATCCATTCCGACCCAGTCCAGCTATGGCCAGAGACACTTATTGACAGTTTAGTACACTGGGGTTGTAATTTATAACAAAATTGGACCATTATTTTTAGGTTTCTGTTAATACAAAACCGTATTTTGGTTTTTGAAATGACACCAAATCCCTGTGATACTTCCCCTTTAAGGGTGAAGTGCCCAACACATCCGGAACTTATCCCAGTTTCCATGGCATGAAGCAATCTCGGTTTCTAAAGCATGAAGCCAACTAGGCTTCTCCCCCTGGATGGGATGCTAGTCTATCTCAGGCTACCCCCTCAGCATTTTGTCGCTGGTACCCATTTATATTCCTGGGTGGAGAGAGGCACTATGAGAGTTTTGCCCAAGAACACAACACAATGACCCTAGCTGGCACTCGAACTGAGACGGCTCGATCTGGAGTCCAATGCGCTAACCATGAGGCCACCGCATCTTCCACAAAAAAAGTCTTGTACTACACACTTACCATCTCTATTAGAAAGAAGTCGCACAAGGCCAGCTAAACAGGTATCTGTAACCTCTGAAATATTTGATGCACATCGTCCAATGGCTTGAATTGTTGATGCTACAAACTGCTTATCTGGACTAGAAATATAGCTCTAAACAAAAAGACAAGTTTATCATTATCAGTCATTTATCACCAAATTTGTTTCTTCATAACTCATAACAGAAACTGGTTGTTTGTTTTCTTTTCTGACATGACTGCAATCGTGGTCAAAACTAGTTGAGACAAATGAATATCACACACTTTGCACAAGTCACTGAACCAACGAGCGGGTAGAAATATTTTTACCCCCCTCTCCCCCTGCTCAATGTTGTTTCATGGGGCTGCCAATTCATCCTGCTTCGATTTAACATCGTTTTTCACAACGCGACAACATTGAAATGGGGGAGGGGGGTTGAACAAATTTTGGTGTGTGTCTCAACAGTTTTGACCACGATTGTGGGGTATACATTATGTAGATCCTGGTACAGATCCTCAAATAACTAGCCTTATTGTCCTCTGCACCTGGCAGTAAATAAGAACACTGCCCTTCAAACAACAAACAAACAAACAAACAAACAAACAAACAAACAAACAAACAAACAACAAACAAACAAACAAACAAACAATCAACAAACAAAAAACAGTTTTCACTAGGGACGTAATAATACTTTTACAATGTGTTTAATACCCTATCTAAATACCTGAAATTCTCTAAGTATTGTCCCAATACTTGTCTCTCCTGCAATATTTGTCATAATTTCAAGCTGAGAAGAACACAAGAAAACAAACAAAAATTACTCCACAAGGTACATTGTACATGTACAAGTAATATGGAAGACATTCAGGTTCTTTTTTGGGGTGGTGGTGGTGGTGGGGTAGGGGGTGGTGGTGGGATACTTTCAAGGAGTTTGTTACTTTTGAAAATTTATGGATTTACTGCAATAACAAACAATAAGGATACACCTATGAATACTAAAACAAACCTTTAACAAACGTATATGCGTAGGATCACTAGAATGAACAAAGAAGCCTTTAAGGTATGGTTCAAACATTCCCTGCAAAAAAACAAAACTTTCAGAAATTAAAAGGTATCTTTAACACTTTGACTACTAAACCGGCCATAACCGGCCAAGAGACCACAGACTTGTACCACTTGTGACGTCATCACTTTTCACGCCAACGGATGTCTTGATAATCAGCGGATAGAGTTGGAAAATGTCTAACAAAGCATGCCTAAACGAGCACGAACGTTAAATTGGACCAGAGATTACACACAAAAACAACTTGGATTTTTTCCTGCCAAATCACAAAAACGCGACCTTCACTACCATTGACACTGTCAAAAAAATTCCCTTTTCCCAATGTTTAGGTTAAAACTTTTTCAACGGCGAACAAAGGCGACTGAAAAGGCCAACAAAACCACAAAATAAAATAAGAAAAAAGGAGAGCAAAAACGCAAAAAAAGGAAAAGGAAAGCCTAAAGTCAGGTGTGTTTTTCAAACCGAAATTTTGATTTCTGCGCATGCCCAAGGAAAATATTGAATTTGTTGCTTCTACGTAGCAGTATAAGGGTGTTAGTTGCCGTGTTTTAAACTAAGTTTTAGACAGTTTGACATTAAACTGTTGAGATAATGGCCAGAAATAGGCATCTGGGATGTTAGATTGCCATTTTTTGGAAAAGCCCAGTACCGTAAAACTCCATGTATAAGCCGCACCCGTAGATAAGCCGCACCCCCATTTTGAAAGCTCAATTTTGGGGAAAAAAGACGAGACAAGTTGTGTTTTAGTAACAAAACAAGTACAGTTTCAGAACACTAAATGACAAACTTTCACATTTATTAACTCTTTATACGGTCAAATCTTACTTGTCATACCTTGTGCGCATCAAGATCGCCATGTCTTTGAACTTTAAAATGCTCTTTTGTTTGATTTTTTCTGCATTGTTTAATTGTTGCTCAAAACACGTTCAAATGAAATGTACGAAGCGATAGCTTGGTAACAAGCTTTTACAAGTAGAGAGAAGTCTGGGCCACCACATCGTGGGATCGTAAGAGTTTGCATTCGTGTATTCAGTGGTGGCGAGGATCTTTTGAGATGTTTGGGAACTTTCAATAGCAGAAAACTTGAAGCAGGACGATAATTCAAAAATCCAGTGGATAAAAAATGCCGTGAAAGAAGTAAAAACATTGAAATGGTCGGCCTGCTCGGGCCATTTACCACGCAACTTGAAAGAACCACGAAAGAACTACTGAGGAACAAGATTTGCCGATGAAAGTTTTTGACACAAACAGCTCCTGAGAAACTACCGGTCATAAATGCAATGATTAACAACAACATACTTTCAGTTTGTTATATGTTTATTCAGTAACATCTTAAGATATTTTATGAATATTAATTAGGCCGCTGAGAATCCCAATCGCAGATGGTGCTGTAGATAAGCGCACCCCGATTTTGAATCCAAATTTTTGGTAAAAAGGTGCGGCTTATACATGGAGTTTTACGGTAGTCAATGGGTTAATTAGCGACTGAGACAGGAACATCTTTGGCTCTTGACCAGGCTTTTAGCCAGAATTGGAAAAGTGGGCTTCCTGGAGTCATGTCCCCCATAAATTTGTTACAGCGTTGACGCATTTTTCATCATTTTCTCCCAGGATTGGGTGTCCACAGGACACCCAGTTGCCTGTCTGGCTAAAAGCTTGCTCTCAAACCTCTCTTCAAACCAAGATATTCCTACTAACTACTCTCGTACAGTCAATATGCAATAAATATATAAAAGAGTTGAAAGAGTGGCACTCTTACCTTTCTTGTAGAAGACATTGTTGCTATGTTACTGAGGACAATAGTTTGCACCTCTCTATGAGGAAAAACGCATCAACAGTCAAATTTTGCAAATTCATATTTGATCATGTTATTTTGGAACCAAAAGAGCGTACTAATTTCACGAGTACTAATTTTCATGATTTTCGTGATTGGAAAAAATTCGCGAAATAAATACTCGCGAAATAAAGGTGCCGCGAAAATTAAAAACGTGAAATTTAATACCCTAGTACACAAAGAAAATTGACACTGTAATTTGGTAAAATGTAAAGGGTACAAATTGCCACAATTCTGTTCGTAATTTCCACATTCCTCCTCTGATTCATCATTTACTTGCAATTCCTGCAAATGTAACTGGTGCAGTCGTTCAAAATTGCCATTCACAGTACTGATTTTCCTTCTATTCATCAATTGAATGCTTTACTGTTGATTAACAATTATGAGGGATTTTAAAAATTACTATTAAAATTTGGTGATATTTTTGCAAAATTTAATACACTTTGAGTCCATTTTCCGTTGAAATCGTGAAAATTAATCCTCGCGAAATATGGCTCTATCATTTTCGCTAAATTAAGTATGGCGCGTGAGAATAATACATTGTACTTTTATTAATCATTTCAGTTCCAAGCTCATAAATGGCTATGCTTTAACCAATCACAGCATGCACAGTCATCTTGTTTATTTTATAATGGTTACTAATCCAACCTGTGGCTTCTAAGGAGTCTAACCAAGGAACGTGCTACAATGCCAACTTCATTTGTGGGTGCCAAATGATGATAAAATCTAGCCACTGGCCATCACAACCTGCAAAAATAACAAATTATACTTCTGCTGGTCAAATGATCCAGCACAATGAGTCACAAGTAATGGTTCTTATGAAATGAACAAATGATCATCGCAGTTGTGAATGCAATTTTTAAGCCAGAAAAAAATTCTGGCTTCAACGGGATTTGAACCCATGACCTCCGCGTTACTAGTGCGTTGCTCTACCAAACTGAGCTAGGAAGCCACACGTTGGGAGCAGGCCAATTGTGAGTTTATATACCCGTGATATGAATGAATAATGTGATGATGAATATATGAATGAAATCATATATATATGAACTGCGGAAATGAAAATGAAATGAACAAAAATAATGATCATCGCAGTTGTGAATGTAATTTAAGCAATTGCAAATTTTTGCCAAAACGTGGT